TGGTTCTGAACCCCACTATCCTGCTGCCAGTTTTTTTCTTCTTCTTACCTGGCACCGTTCTTCCCAGTCGCCTCCCTCGGTGTCGCTCCAGCCCCTCTGTTTACTCTCTACTTTTAAGCAGTCTGCTGGTGGTCCGAAAGGAAAGAGTCTCCTCCCTGCCTCCCCAAGGTCAGTGCTTGGGCACAGCGCCCTGCTCTCTGCTTCCCTCCAGCTTCCCATCCCCGATGTCACCTGTACACGGTTGACAGTGCTCCACACGGAAGACCAGCTACTGTCATGTCTGAGCAACACATCTGTACCAGACAGATACCAGGAGACTGGAACGTTGTAAACGTACAGTGTCTGCAACAACTGGCTCCTAGCTCACTTTTCTCTGTAGTCCTGGTCAGAATCCTGGAGAGGTTGCAGGCTCCACCTGCACAGCCTCCGAGCTGTCCGGTGGTTTCTGGCCATCCGTGCCCACCGACAGCTTCGCAGTCTCCATCTGGACCTGTGCAACCAGACTGGATCCTTCTCTTCGCTTTCCTGGCTCCTTGCTTGAGCTCTTCAAGTCTATTTTCCCAAACCTCATCATCCCATTCTTTGCCAACTCTTTGTTCAAGTCCCTGACCTCACTCATCCAGTGTCAGCCTTCCGTTAACCTTGTACTCCATTCTGCTGGGCTTCCTGGGATATCACACATGCACAGGTCTGTGTTTGCCCCAGAGTCTTTGTGTTTCTGATATGCGCTTCTTCCCAGCATGCTCTGCTCCTAATCTTCACTTAGGACTTCCCTCAACGTCTATCCGGCTACCCCTTACTTTGCTGCGATTTCCTACAGTTTGAGAGTATCAAGACTACATGATTTTTGTTATACCACTCTCTGTCCTCTCCCCCATCTGAATATGATTCATTGAGGGCAGGTGGCTTATGTTGCTTCCTGTTGCCATGACAAAGAAACAGTTTCTTTTCTCCCCACACCCAACAGCTCACAGTGGCAGCCCTGCTGTTTCATGGGCTTTGCATTCCATGGCCCAGAACAATGCGGAGTGGGGGATAGGCATTGGATGTGGGAGTTAAATGTTGGCAAGTCTAGGCTAGAGCCTGTCAAAACTGCTGTCATAAAACACCGCAGAATGCATTTCTTATGGCAAATATAAAGACCTGATGCATCTGTCATGAAGCTGTAGGATCTGTGATCCACATAGTCGTCCAAGTGTCAGGGAGCTGGCAGAGAAGCACATTTTTACGTGGGACATCTGCAGAGAAAGCGAGCACCACCAGGAGATACATGTTCACTTCTGATCTCAAGGTCAGTGACCGTCCTTATGAAAGTGGAGCTCTTGGCCATCCATATTCAAGATGCTCCCAAGAACATCTTTAAGAAAGCAGAGATGCGTGTCCCGCAGCTACCCTAGCCGACCTCTCCCTCTTGGAGTCCCCTGACCTGTGGCCACCAAACCCTTCCTGCCACCGAAACTTCATAGGGACCTGGAGACAGAACAAAGCAGCCATTCCAGCCGTGCCCCTCCACCCTACGGTAGATAGAGAGGGGAGGGGATAGAGCCTTGAACCCATACCCACCAGGAGAGGGAGAGATCCCACCTATACCCACTGGAAGAAGAGATGGGAAGATGACAATATAAGAACACATCCAATGACAGAAAGACTTATATGACATCACCAGAGTCTAGGGACTCTAGACCACCGGGATCTGAACATCTGAAGGCAGATGAAGCAGAAGAGAATGACTTTAAAAACAGCTTCATGAAAATGATAGACGCCCTCAAAGAGGATATGCGAAAAATCCCTTAAAGGAATGGAAGAAAAAAACAAACCAAAAAAAAATATGCAAGAAATCAGCAAATCTCTTAAAGAAAGTAAGGAAAGCCAAGAAAAACCAAACAGGTGAAGGAAACAATTCAGACAACTCAAGACCTGAAAACTGAAATAGAAAACAATAAAGAAAACACAAACTGAGGGAATGCTGGAAACAAAATCTGGGTAATAGAAAACAGTAATGCAAACCGTGTTACCTGTCTTTGTTAACACAGCCTAATAACATTTTTCCTGGAGATTTGTGGGAGAATCCATTTGACATAGAAACTGGCTCCATGTTAATGTGTTGTTTTTTTGTTTGTTTGCTTGTTTTGTGAATTTGCAAAATACCAAGAATATTATGTGGTGTCAACACACTGCCATCAGGAGTTCATGAGGTGTGAGTGAGATGAGTGATTGATAGAGAGATCTCCCATGTTATCTGAGGGATGGAAGCCATTGTAGTGGCTTGAATATTAAATAATTCCCCCAGATGTGTAATACAGAATAGACTGTGCTTACGTTGCGAAATAGGGAAACCTGTAGAGGTGGGGCTGCATGGGTGCGTGGACAGTTCCTGTGGGCATGAGAGAGAGGCAGTGGTCCCCAGCCCGTCCTCCCTGCCCCTCGTTTCCCAGCTGCTGGATGAAAGTGTGCAGTTTTGCTCAAGCATGCCTGTCTCGTGGTGGTGGGCCACATGGATGTGGACTGAACTCTCTAAAACTGTGGCCAAAATAATCTCCTTCCTCCTTTAGACTGATTAGCTCAGATACTTTGTCACGGTGATAGAAATCTAGCACGTCCATTCAGAAAAGCAGATCTTGTGTTCTGGAATAGGTGTCTAACACAAAAGGGACTACATGGTGTGTGCGTGTGTGTGTGTGTGCATGCATGTGTGTGTGTATCTGTGTACACATGTGCACTCACTCTCGCACACATGCTTTTTTATTTATTTTATTGACACACACAAAATTTAAATTTATAGTTTTGTTAAAATTTGTCCTTAAGCAATATATTTTGATCATTTTTAACCTCTCTTAACTCCCCTCAGACCCTTCCTACCTCTTTACCAGCACAACTTCATATTCTTTCTTTCAAAAAAAAACCAACAAAATTCAAGGACAAAAATCAAAATAAACAAGCAAAAATAATATAGGACAAAAATGAAAAAATGAAACAAAAAGTGTGAAAAACAAACAAACAAAAAATGGAATGAGTTTTGAGTTAGTCAGTTACTCCTGTGTATGAGGTCTACCCTGGAGTGTGATTGATGTACCCCGAGACGCTCCACTGGAGAAAATGGATTTCTCTCTTTGAAAAAGAGAAAGACTATGAAATTAGATGGGTAAGGAAGAGAGAGGTACTGAGAGGAACTGGGGGAGAGAGAAGAATATGCTATAAATATATAAAATGTTTTAAAATTAGAAAAAAGAGAGAACATTCAACTGAAGGAAGACACTTTTGAAGTGTTTCATATATATATATATATGCATATATACATATATCTCACAGAGAACCACACCTTAACACATTACAGAGATCAACAGATCATGTGGAGCCTAGCCCCAGTTGGACACATCTGTACAGAACCCTCTGAACCTATGGCTGTAGAACATTGAAGAGGAAGAAGGAGCAAAAAGATGGCTAAGAGCCAGGGTGCCAGGAAGTCTGATATGAAACAGTCTCTCCAGGAAATGGCTTCTAAAACTAGCCTGGGACACCAGGGATGTCAATGACTACCCTGTTGGGGAAGTCCTTTGTCAATAAAGCACTGCTGGCCAATAGGAATCTAGATAGGTGGGACTAGGAGTCCAGGAGGACTCTGGGAAGGAGAAACACAAGAGAGTCAAGATGTAACGCCATGGGGTAGGAAGCCCAGAACTATTCTCCGGTAAGAAACATACTTAGATTAACAATTATGGGGTAATTACTTAAGTCAGAGCTAGCCAGTAAGAAACAAGCAAGGCCAACAGCTTCATAATTAATATAGCCTCCTGTGTGTTTATTTGGGACTTATGCAGCTCTAGAACCAGGCTGGCGGGAAGGCTTCTCTTGAGGAAAAAGCTTCTCTTTACACTACCCCAACATGGAAGGGGGAGATTTTGAGGGATTCCACTCCTCCTAGACAAGGAACTATAAGTAGCTCTTGACTGAAGGGAGACGAACTAAGCTCCCTGAGATGAGTCTCTTCATTGGTCGCCCAGCGCAGAGTGTTTATCCGTAAAACTGTATATACACAAACAATAAAAAACAGAGTTCCATTTGTGTGTATTTGCAGAAGCGCATGTCTTCATATGTAGCACATAGAATCACAGAAGAGGCTATCACCTTGAGACAGTGGAGGGTGTGGGAGGGATTTCCCAGTGGGGTAACTGGGAGGGGCTGACTGGAGGAGAGGGGAGGGAGAAGTGCTGTTAATTATATTTCAATTAGAAACATTTAAAATGCGCAACCAGAAGGAAGAGCTTTGCAGCTTCTAATTCCACAGCCTACTTGATTCCGTAACCGGGCAACACATTAGATCAGTAGTTCCCTGCAAGTTTGTCAATGACACGTGTTGAAAACCCGTGGGAAAACAGGGCACTTCCTTTTTTGCTAGCGGGAGTGTAAAATAGTAGACCCTTTGGAACTCAGTTCGACAGTTTCCTAATAGCCTAAGCTTGGATTTTCCCTCTGATCCAGCAATCCTGCTTTCAAATATCTTCCCAGGAGAAACGAAAATGTAATGCCCACACAGGCACACCTCTGCAAATGTGGCCAGCATGATTCACCCCCAGTCATGAAGTGGAAACAACCCAAAGGTCCTTTAACTGATGGAAGAATAAGCCAATGGGACCGATTCATGCTAGGTAATGCTACTTGACAACGAAGGGGATGCGTGTGCAAAAACATTGATGAGTTTTCTGACCCTGTGCTAAGGGGAAAAAAAGCTAGACATGAGAGACAATGTAGTATGTTGTTCCCTTAATACAGACACAGTAAATCATTATCGAGAGATGACAGACCAAGACTTGCCTGAGTCTGCAACGCAGAAATGCTAAAGCTTTGCTTGAAAGGCCTTTTTGGGATGTCTGACGGCACACACACACACTAGAAGCTACTAAACTTTACTCTTAGAACTGATAGTTGTTATGTGCGTAAACTAGACTGCAGCTTATTTTTATAAAGGTGAAAAATCCTCATGCTTCCATCTTTTAGCAGGAAAGAGAGTCAGCAGGGTTTTAATTTTATTTAGGAGCAAAGGAGAAAAATCTCAAAACGTGTGACCATGATGATAGCAATGCTTAGTACGCACTCAGTAGTGTGTGTTCTCTGTTTAACCGGTGCGAGAGTGTGGATTTCAACATTGCTCCTTGGACTTGGGTGCCACAGGTGTGGGTGCCGGCTGTTTTGCCACTGTTGAGGGGCAGTGGCATCATACGGTGGGTGGGTTATGGTGAAAAGTTAGGCTTTGTGAAGCCCTCTTCTCCCTCTCCTCTTTTCATTCCATCCTTTGAAGTCGATTGTCTCAGGTGTTTCCTCACAATGGTAGGAAGCTGACACACTACCCTCTCCATCAACCAACTCGCCTATGAAATGGTACAGTCATCCTCACCGCTAGACAAGGGAGGTGAGAGGCAGGGGAGTCTGAGTCCTCAGGTTGGTAGAGTCAGAACTGCAACACCAACAGCATAGTCTATTAAGATGACAGCACCCGGAGGATGATCTCTTCCTCCCCAGGGCATTCACACGTACTGCCTTCTCTTTAAAAAAACAAAAAAAGACGTTCTTGCAATAGTGTCCTTTGTCAAAAATAACTCCTTACTTTGGAGCTGCCGCTAACATTCCTTCCCAGGGGAAGACATAAACAGCACTCCCTCCCACCTACAATTCCAATGACAAATCAAGTTACAATTCCACCAAAGCCTCAAAGCCTTATTCTGAGATAACAATGAGGTTTTTTTTTTTATTTTTAGGCTTACTGGCAGGGCTTATGGGCAGGAAGATGGGCAACCTTATTAAGCAGACACCCCGAGATTTGTACATGCAGCATGGAGGATGATTTCCCCCACGGCTGGGTAGATGGAGCCCCCTGCCCCAATCTTTCCCCACCTACGCTCTGTACTCCCCTATACTATAGACCTTCCTAAAGTACATTGAGGCCAGTACACACCACCATTTGGAAAAGGTAGGGCCAGATACTCGAGGGTCTCATGACTCTCCCTGCCCTCCCCGCCCCCTTCTAAGAGGCATGATAGAGTCAACAAACTCAGCTATGATGATCTTAGTTATGATGATCTTTTGAGTGAAAAGCCTCAGCTGGACACTTGAAGATGACGGCAGTGTGACTGTGGATAGTACTGTATAATGTTGTCGTCAACCCCTTCTTCTGAGTCCCTGAGTACTGAAGGGGTGATACACACCACACACACACACACACACACACACACACACACACACAGATATACATATACACATATATATGTATATATATCTGAACTCGATTCCTCCAACTCCAGTGAGGTACTGAACCCTCATGCATTCCTTATCTCCTCTGTCTCTGGAATATAGCTGCTGTGGTGAGCATGTGGGCATGCCTCTTCCTACAAAACACAAATGAGGAAAAGGACCACAGAATGGGAAATAGAAAATCCCACAAAAGAACGATCACCGCAGCAATAACCCATGATTGTAAACCCGAGTGTGATGAGCTCCTTTAGCTGCTCTGCCATTGTACAAACAGTAGCGGTTGCTCCTCTGCTGGAGTCTATTGCCTGTCCTCAGGTTTCTGTCTAAGATCCTTGTACTAGCTATGAATTTCCCCCAGGTGGAGTGGCCCTCAGTGCAATAGAAAAGTTGGTTCTCTGAGACTGGATAGGCCCTGTGCATGGGGAGCGGGGGAACCAAATGCTCTTGCTCTGCTAAAGGAACACAACAACAAAAAGACTGCTAGTGACATCCTTCCACGCGCGTAGATCCGTGCTTCACGCAGCTGTCATCGGAGAAACTTCTTCTGGCGGCAGACGGAGAAGCTAACCCAGAGGCCCCACACCGGGCAACAGGCACTGAGCGAGAGACTTTGGGACTCTCAGTCCCAAATAGGATGTCTTCATCAAATCCTTCCCCTCAGGGCCCAGGAAGCTGTGCCGAAGAGGAGGTGGAAAGATTATAAGAGTCAGAGAGGATGGACGACTCTAAGGAAACAGTGTCTTCCAGACGCACCAGGACTTGTGCGTATATGAGTTCACAGAGACTTTGGCAGCATGCACAGGCCCCATACAGGTTCCAGCCAGACAGGGTACCACTGCTGAGAGACAAATGTGCCCACGCCTAACCAGGAAACTCTCTCCACTTGACATCCACTTGCGCAGGAAAAATGGTTTCTCTCCAATGCAGTCTCACTGGGTGTATTAACCACACTTAGGGGCAGTCCTCATGCCCAGCCGTGGATGGCCCACACAAAATGAACTCAACAGTATTTTTGTAGACTTTTTTTTGCCTCGTATTGATTTGCTTGGGTATTTTGTCTTGCCGACCTTTTGCTTATATTATGGTTTCTGAGTCTGTGTTTTGATGGATTTTATTTGTGTGTATCTCTCTCTCTCTCTCTCTCTCTCTCTCTGTGTGTTTCCCTTTTCTCTTTTTTTCTTTTTTCTTTTCTAAAGAGAGACAGAGAAAGACAGGATGTGGAGTTATAAAAGGAGGTGGGGAGGGTCTGGGAGTAGTTCAGGGATGGGAAACCGTGATCAGAATATGTCGTATAAAATATTTCTTTTTAGTAAAAATAAGAAAGATGCCCACAAATAAGCTAGGGCATCTCAGCTAGCTCTTCATGCTTTATCAGGAAGTATGCGGAGCCCACGCCTCGGTAGGACCTTGGGGCTTAATTCTCCTTAGCCTTCTCAGGGGCGTCTCTCCTGGCACTACTAGCCGGCAGGGAAGGAGCATTTCTAGATCAGAACTAGCCCCATTCCTCAAAGTCCAGTCGTATTTCTCCAAGTCCTGCAACCCTAGCACATGATATGGTCTTACCATCTAGATCTGGGACGCAGCCCGCAGCACTAACAATAGCCTCTATCTTTTAGGAGCCTCCAGAGCCTCGTTGGCCAACAACTCCTCATGAGATAAGTCACCCCTGTCACTGGCACATTTGAATCAACAACCTTTTGGTTTCTGGGAACATCCGTTTCTTCTCTCACAAGATACCCCTGCTTACTCCTTAGCATTTATAGACCAGGCTACTGTAGACTTTTTCTCCGTCATCTTGGGGCAGGGCAGGTAGCCTCTGTGCCTCACTTAGCCATTAAAGCTCCTCAGAACTGCAAGGCTGCACCTGGCCTTGTATCCTTTGCGGACTGCTTCCCTAATCTTGCTCCTTCAGGTACACTCACGTCTTTAAATGCAGGTCCAAAGTTGCAAAATACTCAGAGGTTAGCATCATGCTGTGTATGTAGCAAAAACTTTTCTTCTAGAAAGACGGGCGGGATGAGGTAATACCCTGAGATACCGTCCCTATCTGAATCGTGGGGTTACAAAGATAGCCTTGGTGGAGCAGTCTGAACGTACAAGAGTTAGGAGATGGCAGACGTTTGAAACTTGAAATTGAGCATAAGCAAATTCTAACGCACGGGGAAGTGTCTATCAATTTGTATCGGCTGTTTCACCAGCAGACAAATTCTGGATGCAGTAGCATGGGCAGGAGGCACTAACTTAATTAGTTCTCGGCCATCCCAATCGTTCTCTCTGAGTGATTACACTTCCATGCATAATTCCGGAGCTCTTCTGTGGAGCGTCTCTGAGATTTCTTCACGTCTGAGGAACTTGGTAGGGCTGTCTCAAGCTGCTTGGCCCTACCGACCAAGACCAAGGAAGGAACGAGTCTCCACTCCTGCTGCTGTTATCTGTGTTATCTGCTGGCTCCCTGAATCCAAGAAGCCCTGGGTTGACACTGGGACTCAAATGTGTTGCTGGAGTGACTTTAATTTAGAAAATCACCCCCACCCTCTTGCAGGATAGAAAAGTAAGTACCATGTTTAGTGGTGTTGGGGGGCTAATTACCCACCCCTGGTACTGAACTGCTCTCCTGTACTTGGGGTGGTTTGTATCATAGACGCTTTTCTGTGGATGGTTTTTCTTGAGCTTTAAAGCCTTCAGAACCCCTATGGCACAGGATTGGGCTTTCTCTCCATTTTTTTCTTAGTAACTCAGGCTCAATACAAATCTTGTCATGCTTGTCCTCAAGTAGCCCAGACAGGCCCCTTCCTCTGCTTTGCATAACTCTTATCTCTACTCTGCTCTCCCACCGTGTGGACCCTGTTTCCATGCTGCTCATAAGATCCTCCAAAGCCTCCTGCTTCATACAGATCCTGCTCCACCGAAGGGCTCGACAAAACGGCTAAAACCGCCTGTCTCAGGATCCTAGCTGGATCCATGTCTTCCTTAAATCTCTGGTGAATATTTTCCGTTCAGTCCCTCATACCCGGTTCCTTCAGTAGTGCCTATCCATATTTTTTTTTATCATCTTCCATACCTTCTCTGGTGATGGCCAAGCCTTTGTATTGGTTCTTACGAGCCCTTCCATCGGCGATGTTATCATAATTCTAGCACTGAATATTCTGATTATCGTGGTCTCCCACATCGTACCGTTGGTGAGGGGTCTTAACAACGATCTGGTATGAGAGACTGTGATAATCAGACCACTGTTAAGACCCCTTAAAATGTCTGCATGATACGTTATGGATTTTCCCTTTGTCTTTATATCAAAAGTCAGACTCAAGGGTGCCCTGTTGACTCTCTTTGATAACTGACTCCCCAATAGCTTTTAGGGTTGGGGTTTCCAGGAAGGGCTCTTTAATACCTAACTGGCTTGGGGTTTTTAACTTTGGACCCCAGCTGTGAGAAGCAGCCTCCTCTACACAGCTCTCTCTGTTGTATATACTTTCAATGCTACATTGGAGGTCAACACAGAGGATGTCAGCCACATGGCTCTTTATTGTAGTTCCTCCCTGGCACCTGCAGTCTCCCTCCAGGCTGCTCCCTGGCCCTCAGCTAGATCTCATTACTCACAGCAGTGATGGGACTGCCTCTGCAGCTGCCTATTGATCCCTCTGCCCCCGATGCCCTCACTATTCCCAAGGCTTGAAACACATGACTCTTCTCTAGATTTTCAGCTGTTTTCAAAGCATCCCCACACATCTTGGGTTGGCCCTACTCGTTGATGAGGTGTGCAGTTTTATAGAACTTTGAAAAAGAATGCCGTCCTGTGATTCCTCCCACACACATCCCCTGCACCGGTGGCCTCACCTTAATTCCACGTCTCGCTACTCTCTACACGCTCATGGCCTGGACCCTACCCCCAACAAGCTCTGTAGGCAAAAAACAAAGAAACAAATTCTGTCTGTAGTCTTGCTTCTGTTCAACTTTGCTTCAGTTACCTGTGTTGTTCCTAGTATGCCTTAGAGGTGTATGTCTTTTTCCCATGCCAGTGCCTCCAAATGCTGCTAAAATTCTTTCCCGTGGGTAGCATAAACAATGCCTCTGGTACCTATGACAAACTGAGGTATGATTCCAACAAGCTTCACTTTGTGGAACCAATGAATTTGGTATTTTGTCTTACAGAGCAGTGGGCAATGGGTTATGGGCAGGAGAGCATGGGTGACCTTAATGGGGCCACACTGGACGTTCTGGACCTGATGTTGATGATGATTCCTCATGGCTGCGTAGATGGGGTCCCCCTTCCCTAGGCCTTTCCCACTTATACGCTCTAGGTTTGCCTTCCCTGTCACCCCAAACCCACATGGAATTGGGGCAGAATTGGAGGAGTGGCTGTATACTCAGGTCCCATACCAGCCCCCCCCCCAAACCGCCACCTTCTATAAGGGACATCAACAGACAACAAATCCAGCTACGATCATTTGTGAGGGGGCAACAGTGTGGCTTAGAAGACAGCCTTACACAACAGAGGAGCCTCATGTCCGTTCTCGGTAAACGTTGTCCTTGCCCCCGTGCTGCCCCAGAGCCTGGGATGCACCCCCCATCACTGGTATCCATACCTTCATCCCACCACGGCTACCCAGCTCCTCCCTGCCTCTCTGCCAGCACCCTGCTCAAGCTCCTTGAAGGCAGCCACAATGTGAAACAATCTGGAATCCTCTTCCTGCTGATTAGAACTCTAGAAGAACATGGACAGCTTCTTTCTCATAGAACATCTCCAGAGAAATCCAGTATTGTAAGAATTTTCTCGGAATTCCAACAGAGTCATACGATTCTGTGGTTTCCTGGGACGTTATTTTCTCCTCTCCCTGCTATTCTTCCATGCCGTGGGGCTCACTCACCATTGAAACTATTTTTTCTGCCCCAATTGCCCCCCAAACTACCTACGTGCAAGTCTAAGGTGTGGTTTCCACACTGTAGAAAACGGAATCCTTGTTGCAGTTGACGCCTGGATTCACGGCAGCAAGCTCACACTCTTTCTGTAGACGCTCAGTGGGCCTGTGCCTCCACACCTCAACAGCACCGTTGCTCTGTGCTCTCTCTGGAGCCATCTGGTCTGATGCAAGCTCAGTTTTTCCTCTGTAACGTGCTCTCTTTCCTGTCGAGGCTGCCATTAAACGGAGCGAATTCATCCTAGGTACTTCTGAAGTCTTTATTCTGTGTCTGTCGTAGCAGCCACTTCTTTTTCTGTGGAACTAGGGAGTGAAACCAGGACACTGTGCATATTGAGCAATTCTTCCAAACCTAAGATTTCATTCTGAGAAGTCCCACTGCTGTTCCCCAGCATCTTCTCTTCCATATCTGGACTGCGCGATCATTTCCCAATTGTTTTTCCGATCTCTAATTTTGTTGTATAGTGTCCATGCTGAAAATAACCTTTTCTGTTAGTCCTACCTTGTGGTTTCTGGTTGTGGTATGACTGTGTTCTCTTGAAGGATATATTCACTGGAAACAATGTCTCCAAAGGCAAATGCTAATGGACTTGAAGGCAGGGCTGCTGACAATTAGGTAAGATGAGGTCAGGAGTTTAGGGCCCCCATAGTGGCTCTTGTGACTTTATCGGAAAAGGTAAAGGAGATGGATCAATAAGTAATAGCACTTGCAATGAAAGCAAGAGGACCTGAGTTCAAATCCTGTGCATCAATATAAAGGCAGGGCATGGCCAACTGTGCCATCCACACGTTTGCTTTGTCTTGGCATCTGATACCCTTTATCAAGTTACAATGCAGAAAACACAAGCAAAAAAAGCATCCCCTTATTACCAGACGCTGGCAGTATCTATGAGCTAAATAAATCACTATTGTTTATTAAGCACTTGGCCTTAGGTATTTTATTATAGCAATAGAAAAAGAACTATGGCACAGACACACAGAAAGCAGTAGGGCCACATCTCCCTCCCCTATGGTTTTTAATGATTTGTTCTCTGGGGAGCCTGTAAGAGAGAGAGAGAAAGAGAGAGAGAGAGAGAGAGAGAGACAGAGACAGAGACAGAGAGACAGAGACAGAGACAGAGAGACAGAGACAGAGACAGACAGAGACAGGCAGAGACAGACAGAGAGAGAGACAGAGGCAGACAGAGAGAGAGAGAGAGAGAAAGACACTTTCTCCTCTATAACACTATGGCATCTGATGTGTATCTATTAAACTATCATATGTGCATAATTGTGCATTTGTCGTCTCTGTTTTGGAACTGCTGTGGGTATCTCTAAGGTAGAAACCACATTTGCATCTTTCTTTGTATTTCTAACATTTGGCACATTCATTATCTCCGGGTTGTAGCTTGAGCACTGCTCCTCAAATATACATCTTCATTCCCTTCTAAACTTCTACTCCAGCCTCCACTCCCCGTGACTCATTTAGTGTAAAGGAGGATGGGTGGGAGGCGGCTGCAGTTTGGGCATTAAAAATTATCATTAAAGGTACCAGTATTGGGCTTGGTTTCTAGAGGGGTGTGATTAGTAGCAGGGTCTGATAGGAACTCTTCTGGTTACCAAACCATATCAAGAACCACGGGACCCCTCTCCTCTTCCTTGCTTCTATAGTTCGCCGGCATGCGGTCAGTAGCTTCGCCCCACTGTGTGTATGTTGAGGTCATGACGTGTCCTGCCTTCCCACAGGCACAAAAGCAATGGAAGCGATTGTTTATGGACTGGAACCTCTTAAAATGTGAGCCATGATAATCCCACTCTCTTATAAGTTATTTGAAGTATTTCTAAAACAGAAAAATTGATGAACATGCCATCCAGATTTGCACTTTTATCTCCTGAACTCACTGAAGATAAAGGATGATGGCGGCAGTCTGAGAATCCCTCTTGTTTTCATGCAGATGTCTGTAGACTTTTATCCCAAGTGTCGTCACCACGCCCTTCCTCTTTTATGTCATTATGTTTTTGTAAAAGGAAGCCTTTTCCTTGAGAGAAGCCTTCCCACCAGCCTGGTTCTAGAGCCGCATCAGTCCCAAATAAACACACAGGAGGCTATATTAATTATGAAGCTGTTGGCCTTGCTTGTTTCTTACTGGCTAGCTCTGACTTAAGTAATTACCCCATAATTGTTAATCTAAGTATGTTTCTTACCGGAGAATAGTTCCGGGCTTCCTACCCTATGGCGTCACATGTCGACTCTCTTGTCTTTCTCCTTCCCAGAGTTCTCCTGGACTCCTAGTCCCACCTATCTAGATTCCTATTGGCCCAACAATGCTTTATTGACACAGGACTTCCCCAACATGTTTTACTTCATGTTCTAATTGATATCACATGAAATGTTACTTAAGTGTTAAATTTTTCTGTGGATTTTGATGTATGACCTTGAAACTTCATTTTCTTCTTCCTTTTTCTAATATCTATTCTTCTCTCATACATTACATGCCAGCTACAGATTCCACTCCCTCTATTCATTTCCCTGTTTCCCCCGCCTTCCTTCTCTCTTAGCCAGATCTGCTTCTACTCCATTTCCCTTCATAAAAGAGCAGGCCTCCTAGGGATAGCCACTGAACATGTGCTAAAACATACAATAAGTCTGGGCCCAAACCCTCGTATCAAGGCTCATTAAGGCCACCCAGTAGGAGGAACAGGGTCCTAAATTCAGGCAAAGAGTCAGAGGTACCCACTACTCCTAATTTTGGGAGTCCCATGAGAGCAACAAGCTAAACAACCATAAGGTATATGCAGGGGACCTAACTCAGACCTATGCAGGGTCCATGTTTGTCCCTTTGGTCGCTGTGAGTTCTTATGAGGCCTTATTTCTTGATGTTCTTGACTACTCTGGCTCCTACAATCTCTCCTCCCCCTCTTCTTGAGAGGTCCCACTGGTTTCTACCATGACTATAGGTTGCTGCATCTGCTCCCATCAGTTTCTGGGTGAGGCCCCTTCTGATGACAAATGGGCTAGACAGTGATCTATGAGTACAGCAGGAATATTTTTAGGAATCAATTCATTGACTTTTGTTTTGCCAGTCATGTTTGGTTCCATCCCAGGTCTCTGGGCTGTTCTGACTCTGGTTCCTGGACATTGGTTGAGCACTCCCTCAAGTTCTGGCCCACCATTACCCCAGCACCTCTTGCAGGAAGGACAGATTGTAGGTAAAAGGCTTTTTGGCTATGTCAATGGCCCAGTACCACTTCTAGGAGCCTTGCCTGGTTATAGGAGATGGCCAGTTTATGCTCCATATCCACAATTACCAGGAGACTTAGCTTGGGTCACTCTTGTAGGTTCCAGGGAGTTTCTACTGTGCTAGGTTTCTACACTAACCCCCCCCCAACAAATACCCCCAATTCCAGTCATCTCTCCCAGTACTCTTTATTGATTTTTGATAAAGAATCCAGAAATACACAATGGAAAAAAGAAAGCATCTTCAATAAATGGTGCTGGTTCACCTGGAGGTCTGCATGTAGAAGAATACAAATTATTCCATATCTATTATCCTGCACAAAACTCATGTCCAAGTGGATTAATGAGTTCAACATAAAATAAGACACACTAACCCTAACATACGAGAGAGTGGGGAATAGCCTTGAACTCATTGACATAGGAGGCAACTTCCCAAACAGAACACCAATAGCACAAGCACTAAGATAAAATCAATAAATGGGACCTCACGAAACTGATAAGCTTCTGTAAGGCAAAGGACATCATCAATAGGACAAAACTGGAGCCTTCAGAAGGGGGAAAGATTTTCTTTTTCAAACAATTCCTCATGTAACAGAAGGCTAATATCTACAATAATAAAAAGAACTCAAGAAATTAGATATAAAAAACAAATTCTTCAATTAAAATTGGGGTATAGATCGAAACAGAGAATTCTCAACAGAAGACTGTCAAATAGCTGAAAGATATTTAAGGAATTGCTCAATATCCTCAGTCATCAGGGAATGAAGATCAAAATGACTCTGAGATACCATCTTATACCTGTCAGACAGGCTGAGATCAAAAGCACAAAATCAAAAACAGCTCATGCTTCTGAAGATGTGGATCAAGGGGAACACTCCTCCATTTCTGGTGGGAGTGCAAATTTGTACAACCACAATTGAAATCTTCAGAAAATTCGGAATCAATCTACCTCAAGACCAAGATATACCACTCTTGGGTCCAGGTCCAAAGGATGCTTCATCTTAACAAAAGGACATTGGCTGGCTCAACCATGTTTGTTGTTGCTTTGTACATAATAGTTAGAAACTGAAAGCAACCTAGATGCTCCTCAACAGAAGAAGGAATAAAGAAAATGTGGTGTATTCACACAGTGGAGTACAACTCAGTTGTCAGAAGCAATGACACCCATGAAATTTTCAGGCAAATAGATGGAACTAGAAAGAATCTTCTTGAGTGAGGTAATCCAAACCCAGAAAGACAAACTTGGTATGTTCTCACCCATAAGTAGATGTTAGTTTAAAAGTAAAGGATAATCATGCAATGGTTTACAGACCCAAGTAACAAGGAGGGCTCAAAGGGGGGACATGTGTATCCCTCTAGGAAGGGGAATTCGAATAGATTCTATGGGTGGACTTGGGGTAGGTGGGGATGGGAACTGGAGGCATCAAACTGCTGTTTAAAGATACACATTTATACCCTAAGATGATTGCTGCTCTTAGCCCTGGTCAGAGAATCTTTTGCTTTTGTTGGGCAGCAGTTTATCAAACTGCTTAGATTAAGTGACCATGGTGTGCTCAGTCCTAAAATGGATTATTCATATCATCCCTTGCTCAAGGTTTAGGGAACATCATGGAAAAGGAGTCAGAAATTAAGAGCTGGAGGATGATACAGAAGCTTGTGAAAAACTATTATCTGGACATGGCATAATTGCTGTACCCATGAACTCAGCAGCTGTGGTCTGCATAGGACCTGTGCAAGGCTGAGCCAACAGACATTGCAGCAACGGC